GCAGGCATTAGATAATTCAGCGACTTGCGAGAACCCGTTGGCAAAACCAGCATTGAAGATTTACCAGAAAGCACCATTTTACTACAAAAAAAAACTGATTTCGCGACAAAAAGATAATGTCATCAAATCTCAATTTTGTTGCAAAATAGATTAGTTTGTTTTGAGAGAGTTTTATTGGTTTGTCTGAAATTAGTACTTGAATTGACCCATTCATTATTATTTTTCTATTTTATTTTGCTCATCCATATTGTTAGTTATATTGTCATTTTTAAGATTGCAAATGTGGAAACGTAAGTTCTCATTTAAATGTGTTTTGACTTGTATTTGATGATGTTGATAAACGTAGGGAATTCCCACATGAAATCTCTAATGGTCAAAGTCAATTGCGTGGGGGCATGAAGAAATAATTAATTAGATGGATTACATAAATGCCTCAATGCAGGCATGTCATAGATAAAATAATTAATTATTTTTTTATAATAGAATTTTTCTAATATATTGTCACGTTTCTATTCAGACTTTGTTTATAATATTTTTCTATTCATCTAATAGAATTATTCAGATTTCTAATAGAAATTTTCTATTCAGTCACGTTTCTATTATAGAATTTTTCTAATATATTGTCACGTTTCTAATAATTTCTTCTTCTTCTTCTTCTTCTTCTTCTTCTTCTTCTTCTTCTTCTTCTTCTTCTCTCTTTTGTTTTTTTTTGTTTTGATATCTTATTGACAAATTCAATTTGATAGATTTGATAGTATTAAATAGATCAAAAAATAATATAACTTCATCAAGAAAGACCATGAAAATGCACAGGACTTTTTTAAGATTTAAGTTGGGTAGAGATACTAAGGAACTATATCCTTTAGAATATATAGAAAAAATATTAATTCGTTCATGAAAAATTCAAATTCTTTAGTTTCCTATTGAAAAGAAATTTGAAATTACGTGCTTAAACAACCATAATTCTTTTGTCTCGCTAACGAGTCACAAAGTACCTAAACAAAGTCCATATTGTCCATTCGATAAAGATGATCACCAGACAAGGTAAGAATGTGATCGACATTTTCATTTTTAGCATCCTACATATATATTTAGAATCATCATTAGTCCTTTGAAACTTTGATCAATGAGTTTTTTTATGACAATTTAGCTTCCAGAAAACACACATCAAACAATCATATCAATTGCCTCATAGCATCTGCTGTTCCTTGTAATCACTTCTTACTTGCATTTTCCAGTGTCTGAGTGGCAGCTAAAACCTGTTTTGAACACATTTTTCCTGTTAAGCTAAGACAGAATTTAGAGGGATTTAAAATATAGAGAAAAATGATGTAACCAAAGCTTTTATTTCTAACAAAGCGCTTCAATCATTCATATTTATTCACCAAGAATGAATAACATTTCTTTTTGCAGGCAGAACGTTTAGCTAATTAGTCAATAATTACATCTTACCTCGTGTTGAATTGAGATAATATGAAAATATTCTGTATCCCACTGTTGATGTGGTTCCTCATAGGTACATCAATTAGCCTGTAACAACCACCAGTAGGAACTTGCAGAACAAGTCATGCGATTACACATCATCGATATTAAGTGAATTGTGGTTTAATCTTCAGTTAAATTTTACTCTAAACTCTTCAAGCTGAAGATTGTTCTTTTGAAATCTTTCTAAAGGTAAAGTCAATTCTTTTTTTTCTTTAGACTAAGAGCAGCAATACAAATCATAAAACAAAAGGCCCTGTTACGTGAAGTTGGTTGCTGATAGTATTAGGTTTTAAATTATTTGTAATTGACAATTCTGTGAACAAAATGACTAAAATTGACATATTGTAAAAGTTCAAGGAGTAATGTGCAAATACGTTGAAAATATGTTTTTTACGTCTAGGGTTCGAGAATGACAAAAAGAGAAAAACGGAGCGGATTTTCGCTGGACTATCGCGAAGGTTTGGCTCGAGCTACAAAAGCAGAAACTCCATCGTTTGACTGTCGCCCTGCCTTCGCTCGAGCGACAGTCGTCGCTCGACTATCGCGAGAGCTCAGCGACAGCTTTATACGGGAAATTTTTATTTCGCGTTTTGAAGGCTTTTTCCCTGGCTCATTCGTTTTTCTAACCTACCTATAAATACCAAAACATATTTGAACGTGGTTTATGAGGTTGAACATTGAGAAAAATGCTACAAAGTGTTTCCTTCATATTTGATTCTTTCAACCTTCATCTGTGAGAATTTTGGTAAGAAAATCATCAGTTCAATAATCCAAATGCCAAACTGCTGTTGCTCTACATCTGATCAGAGTTCTGAAGATCGAGAAAGTTTGACTGGAGTTCCAGTCTGTGAAGAACGCAGTGTTCTTCGTGGATCCACAAGAGATAAACGATTTCATAAAGTTAGGAGTTGTTGCAGGATAGCAGAATTCAGGAGAGTTTTGAAAACTGCAGCTTGGAGTGGTGCAGGAGCATAGAATCCAGGAAAGCCGTTGGAATTGAAATCAGGAGATCATATAGTACATGTCGTCGTCTAGGATGGTAGACTATAAGTTACATATCATTTATAGTGGATTGTTGACTGTCAAAGTACCTGAAGTTTTTCCCAGTTGGGTTTCTCCGTGATCATTCCGGTGTTTGATTTACTACTTTACTAGTCATTATTTATTATACAACTGCGGTAATTGAACTTAGGATAAATTGAATTGAATGTTGAATCATTTAGAAAAGAATTAAAAAGTGACTTCTCGCTATTTAATTCGTAAAAATATTTCTAATTCCGCATTACATACCTATTCACCCCCCTCTAGGTATTGTTAGGGTCGAACTGCGTAACTTTCAAAACGCTTACATACTGAACTATTGAAGCAAAATATGTATAAATCTTTCTAACAGTAGGTTTATCTGTTACGCTGGTAATGTTGCATTTGTATTTTACAATATGCTAATAAAAGAGTTAAGCAATGGATGTAACAAATATTTACGTTGAGAAGAAGAGTACTGCAAGTTTCCTCTTTAATGGCTTTCCCGACTCTCTAATCATGTGAATGAGAAGTTAGAAAATAATATATAGTGCACGGGCAATAAACTAAATTTCAGGAGTGGCAGAGGTTATGCATTCAGAAAGTTATACACCTTGGGATTGATGACCAAGAGATCATCTCCTACAATTTGTATTTGAGCTCCAATTTCACTAGTTAAGCCGAGGGGGTCCAACTTTACTACCCCAAAAACCAGCTCCACCAAATAAGAATGCTCAAAAGGCCAAGCAAACACAGCATAAGCTCAGTAAGATAATGAACGGTTTTCTAGGAAAATGCATGTGTGCAAATTTCTATGGTTCCCTATGAACATGGGCGGACCCAAGAAATTATTCCAGTGCGGGCGGTATTAGTAAAAGTAAAAAAAAAATTATAACACAAACATTATACTAAAATGAAATACCTTGCAATTGTTCTTTACGAGTTTTCATANAAAATGAGATACCTTACAATTGTTCTTTACGAATTTTCATACTTTGATATCTTTATACAATCGTCTCATTATCAATCTTTAAGAATATATCTTTCTCCACATAAACAATATGACTATCATTCATCCACTCATCTCCAATTCGATTGTGCAATCTATCCTTCACAATGTTCATGGCAGAAAATACTCTCTCTACCGTAGCAGTAGCAACCGGAAGAATTAATGCCAAAGTCAAAAGTTTGTAAACCATTGGATATGATCTGCTTTTACTGTCAAAACTAACTTCTGTGCGAGAGTACTGAGACCATTTAATTCTTCAAACTCTTTGCTAG